AGCCCCTTACTGCAATTAGGTTGTTTGAAACTGAACTCTCCATGAACATTTCAAATGGTCCTATCTGCTTTGATCGATTCTCTCCATCGCCTTTCTCTTTTGATAACCACTGCAATGCAAACAGATTTTGCGTTATTTTTACCACATAGTTTGATATAGGAGGTTCTTATCTACTGTCCAAAACGTCAAATACAACAGGCAAAGGTTTTGCAGCTGAGTTATTAACAAAACAGAAAGTCGATGAAGAGAAGCGATCAATGCAGATAGGACCTTTTGAAATGTTTATATTTAATATAGCAATTATATTTTCGAGTTCCAGGAATTGGTTTCACTTTCTTAAACATTGGATCAAATTCCTTGTCAGCCTTTGTGTATTCTTTCGTAGAAACATAACAAAATAACAGTCTATCTCGTTTATCCTGTGCATCTCGTTAGGAGAGCTTTGATTTGCGTGCAGGCTTTTTTTGTATTTTCCGCATTCTTCGGGATTAGCCAAGTATTTTTCGTTCCACTTGACGAGCTATTTCCCTGATTCCAACTTTCTCTTGATGGAATGCATCGATTTGCCATTTTTCTTTGTCCGTGAGCATTGCAGGTATCTGGACGAGATCACTACAGAAGAGGTGCAGAGAAGTGCGTTGAAGGTGCACTGTGATCTGAGAGATGTCCCGATGTCAATCCGGATGAGGACCACGTACAATGGCATGCAAACGGCGGTGATACGGCTTTTGACAGTCGCAGCGAATAAGCTGTTGGAGACGAGCAAGAACAAGGTAGGATGGTCAGTGTGCTCGCTGAAAGACATTCCTCGGGTTACCAAGCAACTGGAGCGGTGCTTCAAGTCAGAAGTCAGGCCCTGACAGATTTGATCTGTGCAGGAAATGTGGAGAGAAGGGTCACATTGCAAGAGGCTGCACCAAACAACCGAGGTGCATGCTATGCAAAAAAGGAGACGAAAACGATCATTCGACGGGAGGCTTCAAATGCCTAGCATACAAAAAGGCGATGGCAGGCCAACAGTAACGGAGGTTACCCACATAAACCTGAATAATTGCAAAACTGCACAGCAACCGTTGTGGCAGTCGACAACAGAAACAAAGCGCGACATTGCAGTCATTGCGGAACCGTATCGAGTCCCTCCCGATAACGGTGTCTGGGCGACCGGATCGTGCAGGTACGGCTGAATACATATTATGGGCAGATACTCCATTCAAGAAGCGGTTGCGAGCTCATACGAAGGTTTCGTGATCGCTAAAATGAACGGAATCTTCATATTTATGCAGTTGTTACGCAGCCCCAAGATGGACTATGGCGCAGTTCCATGAGATGCTGGATGGACTTACCGAAGAGCTGGTCGAACGAAGATCGGTAGTGATCGGAGGAGACTTCAATACTTGGACAGTGGAGTGGGAAAACGGATGTTCCAATTCAAAAGGACACAGTCTGTTGGAAGCTCCGGTAAAGGTTGTCCAACGAAGATACCAGTTGAACTTTTCGCAGAGATGGCCAGGAATCCATTATCGACGTCACTTTCTACAGCCCGTTGCTGGTGGCAAACATGAATTGGAAAGTGTGCGAAGGATATACCCATAACGACCATCCGGCGATCCGATATGGCATTGGAAGTGGAAGACGAAGGCTTTCGACAAGGATCTTTTCGTTCAATAAGTGTGGACAGGGGCCCTGCGGATCTGAACGTGGTCGAGCTGACATAAACGTTAGTGAGAGCATGACACAACCATGTCGAGGAAACTGGAGCCAATAACAGATGGCGTTCAGTTTACTGGTGGAACAAGGCATTTAGCACCCTACGCGCTAGTTGTCTCAGAGCCAGAAGACGTGTTCAGAGAGCAAGAACAGAAGCAGACAGAGAGGAACGAATATGTGTGTTTAACGGGAAATAAAGCAGACAAACTCAAACCATTTAAGGAGCTGTGTCGAGACGCTGATACCAACCCCATACCGTCCAACGATGCCCGCTGAAATGTGCCTAGAGAAGCTGGAAGTTATCGTGAAAGGATTTTTCCCGAAGCATGACCCAACGACCTGGCCACCTACACCGTACGGAGAGGGAGAAGGAGATAAGGTCGAAGTCACCAACGAGGAACTCGTAGCAGTAGCGAAAGGATTGATCGCGAATGAGGCTCCCGGTCCGTGGGTTGAAAGCGGCAATCAAGACATCTCCGGACATGTTGATGGCGCTGCAGAAATGTCTGGACGAGGGTCACTTTCCTGACAGGTACAAAAGCTAATGCTGCGGCCAATAATGGGAAAAACCACCGAGGGATCCAGCATCGTATAGACCTATATGCCTGCTGGATACACTCGGAAAACTATTGGAGAGGATCATCCTAAACAGGCTGACGAAATACACGGAGAGTGAGCACGGATTGTCGGAGAGGCAGTTTGGATTACGGAAAGGGAGATCAACGGTGGATGCAATTCAGACAGAGGTCTACAGAGCCGAGAAGGCGTTCAAACAGAAGCAGATCGATATTGCGCCGTGATAACGATCGACGTAAAAAATGCGTTCAGAGAAGTTATTTCCAGAACCGTGTCCTGGTCTACAAGACAAACATGGAACAGAGATCGATTAGGATCACATCGGGAGTTCCACAAGGCTCCATCCTTGGTCCAGCGCTGAACACGGGATGTACAACGGCGTGCTAACACTGAAGCTGCCCAAAGTAGTTGAGATCCTTGGTTTTGCGGACGACGTCATCTTGATAGTAACAGACGAGACGCTGGAAGAGGTGGAAGTGTTCGCAACCGAGGCGATCGACATGATTCGTAAATGAAAGCAATGAGCGAAGCTCCTCACAAAACTGAAGTGCTATTGGCCAGTAACTGTAAAGTGGTGCAGCGTGCAGAAATCTCCGTCGGGAAGCACGCCATAGAATCGATGCGCGTGCTGAAATACCTGGGAGTGATAATCGATGACCGGCTAAACTTCAACAGCCACGTCGAATATCCCTGTGAGATGGCTTCGAAGGCCATCAACGCGATATCTCTGGTCCCAGCAGTAGCAAGAAGCGTCTTCTGGCCAATGTGTCGTCGTTGATACTGAGGTATGGAGGACCAGTCCGGGTTGCAGCGCTGGAAGCCAAGCAGAACCAAAGGAAACTGATCAGTACGTTCCGGCTTATGGCAATGTGAGTCGTAAGTGCTTACATAACCATCTAGCCGGAAGCACTATGCGTTATCGCCGGAATGATCCCTGGCGGAGGACAGAGAGTGCTACAGGCAGAGAGAAGCCGGAAGAGTACGGAAAGTGGTGAGAGCGGAGTATTTGGCTAAGTGGCAACAGGAGTGGGACACGGCGGTGAACGGTAGATGGGCACATAGATTAATACCGATTATTTCGACCTGGGTGAACAGAAAACACGGAAAAGTCAACTTTCACCTAACGCAGTTTCTGTATGACCACGGCTGCTTCAGAAAATACCTGCATCGGTTCGGACGACACGCAGCGTCAACCCTCTGTCCAGAGTTTGGCAACGTGGATGAAATGCCGGAGCATGTGATCTTCGACTGTCCAATGTCGAAGAGAGATGCCTTTTCTTAACGTGTAGAATGTCGTCGATAAAATGTGTCGAGAGGAGGGCACTTGGAATGCCGCCAACAGAGCAGTCACGCAAATTATGTCGGAGCTGCAGCGTAAATGGAAAGGGGACCAGCGATCTCTCAACACCAGCTAGCACTGAGAATATGAGAAGTGCATGAGCACAGCCCCCTTCCCCCTCCCCCCGAAGTAGTCGCTCAACAGTGATCCCAGGTGGATCCAGGCAGAGGAGAGAGTAAGGAATGGGTTTTAGTGGAGCTGAACTAGGTAACTAGGTGATACCACACCGTGCCAACTTCACTACAGGCCAGGCTTTTGAAGCCTTCCTAAACCTTACTATTAAGAAAAACAGGTACGTGCATATGTTAATCATGCATCGCATAGTGATAAGAAATGAATTGAAAAGATCATTTTTTATTGGCAGGTGGTAGGCAAAAATCACCTGACCTTAAAGAAATTGGACAGTGTATGCGCAAATGTCTTCATCAGGAAATTTTCTCTCATAGCGAATCATTTTCCTGATGAAAACAACTTAGAGACATAATCGCACTTTAGCAATCACTATTTCATTTTGCACACTTTTTTTAAAACTTAGAAAAAGACCAGGTCTCGCGTAGAAAAGTCTCCTAACCACGCCATTGTTTATGTAATGCTATGATCGCACTACAGAGTTACAACATTTTACAGGGGTGATGTAATAATTATCGATAGTAAAAACATCATCGAGATAGCCTTACAACATGTTACAACTCCGTAGTGCGAGGATACGGTTATGCTATGGGTTAGTTTATTATTACAACATAATTACCCAAGTGGCGAAAGAAGTTTGATGCGAAAAACTACAAACAAGGGAGCATGCAATAATTACGTCAGAAGTTGATTTTTTTATTATTCTATACCACTCCTCCTTAGTAAAATCTTACATCGCATATTTACTTGGTGTATATTATGCATGTATTTCCCTCCCTCCCTTGTAAGAGAACGTAAGAAAATTTCCCATGAAATTCTAACGTGATTATTGCATGGTCCCCAAGTAACTGAAATCCGTTATATATTAGTTAGCTCAACCATTTCACAGCTAGTGTATATTATAGGATACATCAGGCGTGACTAAAATTGTGCCAGAAGTTGTTTTAATTCATGGAAATTACGAATGTTAAATGTATTGCAGAATAAATGGACTATCTCACACCGAAGCTGTCCACTTCGGTGAACCGGAAATCGAAACTATCAACCGGACAAAGCGAAACCGACGAAAATAGATGGAAAACTAATTTTCTCTAAATTCCATTTGCTGTTTAGCACAAGCTTTCTTCGCCGATGCAGACCGTTCGAACCCAGTCATCCACGAAAGCATCCAACCCGTTCCTTGTCGAAAAGAAGGTGTCATTACTCTTATCTGATGTCAATGTTTTTTTTCTCTTTCATCTTGCAGCTCCACGGTTGGTAAAGGCCACCGTTCCTCCGGTGAACAGTGAACGGGCTGGACTTGCAACATTGCTCCTCACCGGATTCCAGTGCACCATGCCGGCGAAGAGTGATAAAAATCTATTGAATATTCAGTCAAGTGAGAAATGCCTTACCACATTGCTTCCTTCATTGGCATTGTCCTGCAAACGAGTGCAAACGACGACGACAACGATGCAAGGACGGAGATCAAACTGAAAATTGTTGGAAAGTGAACAGTTTCAAGGGTGAAAACACACAGAGCTAAGGCCAGGATCCTTAAAAAAAGAATTGCCACTACTATAAAGTGAAGAATGCTCCATGAAGAATGATGGGAGTGTAGGAGGAAAATCATTGGCAATTTTCTAGCTAAACTGTACAAAACCCAGTAGAAGTAAGAGCGGAAGAAAATGACAATGTCAACAATAGTCTGTTGCTGCACCCCGCCGGTTTCCGTACCGATTGCATCAGTGTTAGAAACTTCAAAAAACTTATCTTAATTTGAAAGTGATTTTCTTCTCTTACATAATTCATCGTACCCACCCCACCAAATCAACCCAAACAAAAACGAAAAAAATACGGACGTGGGGAGGTGAGGAAAAACGATTACGCTTCTGCCACACCGCAGCGGAAGTTGATGGTGGAATAGTGTGCTTCAGCAACTTCTTTCCGGAAGTCTGACACGGTGCTACATCCTTACCGAGGGAAAGGATAACAACCCTGGATCGTCCCAGTTGAAGAGAAAACTTTCCTGCCACCACGCCGCCTTCCTCAAACTCTAGCGACCTGTATACTTTTCGCAGCTTGTACATAGTAGAACGTCCTGTTTTTGTTCATGGTTCGAGTATATGTGTAAATAGGCATTTTTTTTAGTTCGACACAACATAGAAGCGTGTAGGTAAGCCGGGAAAAACACTCAGACACACTGCAGCATCCCGATAAACAGTGCTCTGAAAACGAGGCTTCAAGTGTACGCCTCTCCCCTTTCAGGTCAGTACCGACCGACCAGCGCTACTCGTTCTTTATCGTGTGGACAAACTTTTGCTGGAGATAGACCAGTAGTTTAGTGCTGTTATTTCTAAACAGTATAGCAACAATATTATTTTACATCGGTTACATATTTTCTCTCAACTCCTTCCACCATTATTGTGAAGTGAAAAAAAAGAAGACTGAAGATTCTGCAGGTTTTCAGAACAGAAGCGTCTAATGTCAAGCATAGCTACACGGCAGGCGAGCAGGAGTGAAACTGTATATAGTGCAGAAGTATGCTCACGGGAAACCGGAAGCGATAACGGTTGCATGAACTACTTGTGAAGAGTTCTGCAAGAAAGAACACTCGACGAATAATAAAAAAAAAAAAAAGTTCAACGATTCAAGTGGGTTATTCGCAAAAGAAGTGCGCGGAACGAAGACACATTGCGGAGCCCGACGAAATGCGGCAATATAGCTACAACTTCAACTCCAGGATGAGCACATTCAAATTGACAATGACGAAGACGTACATACTCTGCATTCTATGGATGGCTGTCTTCCTCGACATGAGCGATACAGGTAATACTAACTACATTTGCTTATCTGTCTTTCATCAGCCACGTTGTAGTGAGGTTTATTTTTCCACCAAGCTAAACTACTTCTGTCGTCCTCGTCGTAGTAGATTTTGTTGTTGTTAATGTTATTGTGCAGAGCTCTAGGGCAACTGCATTACAGTAACTTCCCTTAAAACGAGAACTCTTGTTCCTGCCACAAAGAGAACATCCTGCGACGTGTTTCAAGATTATCATGGCTCTTGTGTTCTCTTGTACCATGAAAATGTGGCTTATGACGAGCAGTGTATATGTAGCTATGCGATGGCTAAGGGATTGATGGTGCGTTTTTATTTAATTAAAGAAGCTGAAAAGATGATGTTTCACGAGAAAGTTATCGGATTTCTAGAATTATCAATTTATTACTTAAAATTATCATTTCCTCAAATTTGAAATATTTCATGATTCTATATGTAATGCTTATGATCCCGGTCAGACAGAAGGTTGCTTTCGCTTTCGAAATGATAATAAAAAACTGATTTGCAAACACGACTTTCTTAGTTGTGAAATTAATAACACGGATCGAATTAAAAATAATGATTGTAGTACCAAAACGACGAAATTAGATCGCAAAACAACAACTGAAACACGCACAAAACGAAATGAGACACGCACAAATCAAGCAAAATTAGCTTGTAATAGTTGGAAATTCTTTCACACGGCAACACTTGTATTGACATGAACTTTCCCGTCATCCCATGTGTTGGAAGAGGGGGGGAGTTGATTCCATCGTGGACTGTATTGTTGGGTATTTCACTCCTCCAATAGGAAACTGGTGGTAAATGCAGGGGAATGGGTAGCTGGGTGCTGCATTCTCACAGTGTATTGATGGCAGTTCCGCATACACACAACTTCCTTCTTTGTACACATACTATCTAAGATTAATCACAAACTATATATAAAAATAAAACCAGTACATATATTTACAAACTAATTACACACGTTAAAATATTGCATGGTCAGCCTATCCTCTAGCCTTGGAGACCTAACCAGCACTAAAGATCTAATTAATTGCCTTGATCGTCGCTGCCTTGCGAAATTTATGCGACTCGACAATGCGAGTGGATCAAGCTTTGCTATTCATACCTACTTTTTAGTTATAATTCAGCTATAGCGCCTCTCAGAAATCGATTCTTTTTCAGAACTTCATTGGCATTCTCATTTAAATCTTTATGAATTCTCCTCCGAATTCGATTTCTTTGAAATCCTGCATGGAATCCCCGTAGAACTCATTAATTTTCCATGGAATTATTCTTATAGACAAATATATCATTTTTTGTTGAGCTATTTCTACAATCAACAAAATGATTATTTTCCACACTTCAGCCTCATCAACTATTCAGCGTAATGGCATGTAGACACATGTAGAATGATTTTAAAATTTGAAGTATTAGAAAAACTTTGGAGCACTAGGACTTTAAAATCTTAGTTCTTAATCTTAAATCCAAGACTTTGTGGCAAATTTGAAGCTTCAACAATGTTTAAGATTAACGGCGCCGGTGGTGTAGTGGTAAGCGTGATTACCTCTCACCCCAGCAGGCCTGGGTTCAATCCCAGTCGGCGCCGCCGGGATGTTCTGAGGCATAACATCTCTGATTACGCCTTCCTTCGGATGGGAAGTAAAGCCGTTGGTCCCCGGTTCATGAGTTGATGGGTCGATAGGTAGGGTCCAGGTGTGGAAGCTGCCTTCCGGGCACGTCGGTAGCATTGGTGCTCAGCACGGAAAACAAGATCGACGGAAAAAACATACCAAAGGAAAAAATGTTTAAGATTATACAAATAATAATTTTTTTCAATAATCTTATAATAATTTATGTTATTTGATTTGGAATGGAGCATTTGTCCTGTCACTCCCATATTGAAGAACGAAACATGAATATCTGGAAATTGTTAAGAGATTTAAGGGAAGTCCGAAATTTTCATAGTAGTTTCAAGAACTTCAATAAATAGCCGGAACCTTAGTGAAGGTCTGCGAACTTCTGAAAGTTGGGAGATTTTTAAGAAGTTTCATTATATTCAGGGAAGATCAGAGTACTTCAAAGACGATCCGATATCTTCAGAGTAGTTCCATTAATTTTAGGACAATTGCAGGAAGTTTCATGGAGTTCCGAGGAATTATGAGATGTTCCGAAAATTAAGGAAACTTTATTAATGTTCAGGAAAATTCAGTAAAAATTAGAATTTTAAGGCTTTATGAAAAATTATGGGAACATCAAGAATTATCAAGGAACTTTAAGGTAATTAAATTTACTTGAATACAATTACGAGGACTTTTAAAATATATTGATAAATTCAGGGAAGTCTAGAGAATTTGAGGGAAGTTCAAAGATCTTTTTGGCACATTAAACATCAAGAAAGTCACTATTTAAAGACCTTCTAAAATGATGATGAATTTGTTTCCAGAATTTTCATTAGCTTCAGGAAAAGAGTAAAGGGTGTCCCACATTAAATTTCATCGCGGAAAAAACGCTGTAGAAAACTACCCATTGAGTATTTTCTCTTGAAAATTTGAGTAGAAGCAGTTCCGAGTGTATTGTTTACACTGTATTTTATCGCTGTCAGTTTTTCGACAGTTCGAAAATGGCGTCACCCGAAAAACAACGTCACGAAATGATTTTGCGCAAGCGCCTGGAAAATCCTCAACTCGCTCATCGGGACATCGGAAAACAACTAGGAATCGTTCAGTCAACGGTGAGTCGTGTGATTAAACGTTACTAAGAAACTCTGCGCATCGAACGGAAGGAGAAATGCTTGACAAACAGAGTGCGCCGTTTGTGACTACCAGTACTGTAAACGGTGAGATCTAGCTCAAGGAGTGTCTACAGAAGCGCCAGCTTCCTCTGTTGAAGCAACACGAGGGCCCTACGATCTTCTGGCCGGATCTAGCTTCGTGCCACTAAATATTCAAATGTTGTCCTGGAGTGGTACAAATCCAACGGGGTCACTTTCGTACCCAAGGACATGAACCCCCCAACGCAACGGAACTAAGGCCCATCGAAAAATACTGGGCTATAATGCAGCAGGCACTACGGAAGCATCCCGAAGACATGAAGAAAAGTGGGTTTCCGTACAGAAGAAGCAGCAGCCAGATCACAGTGGTCCAAACGGCGAAAAACTTGATCGTGTGAGATTACGCAAAATCCTTTGACTTTAGTTATATAGTGTCTTCAGAGAAGTTTTAAGGCATAATTGGCGCCATCTTTTGACGGCAGCCATTTTGTGATCAATCCCCCTAAAAGTGAGATCCAACATTCATTTTTTTTAAAGTTGAGATAGAAGGTTTGTGTATTGAACAAAGTTGTAGATTATGTCAATACAAACAACTTTGCTGAAGACAAAAACCTTCTATCTTTTTGCTCAATTGATCTATAAAGCGTTTTTTGTGGACGTGACTCTTAAATCATACTTTTTTACCATAACTTTTTCTATGTAATTTTTACAGCTTTGCAATGTTGTAAGGACTTCTTTGTATTGTTAAAATACATTTTATTGTAGAACATTATTTCTCGCTATTTCCTATATACTTGGAGATATTTGGGATTTTTCAATAAAATTGGCCTATTTTTGAGCTCAAATATTTCATAAGGTGGCAAATAGTGGCAGATCAAACAACTTACATTTGAAAGTACAACAAAAATGCTGCAAAATAATGCCAGAGTTGTCTACATCGGACTACATCCGGAAAAGTTACAGCTGTTTTAAAAAAGGGATCAAAATCAAATGTCTCCTATTAAATATTTGATCTCATTCGAATGGCAACATTCAGCTATTCAATTTTGTTTCCCGTAAGGATTGCCATGAATACAAAAACAAAAGAAAAATACATCTCTTGAGTTAATGAAATACGAAACCAAATGTACAACCACTTCACACAACAGTGATGCCATGTTTGTAAAAGGTTAAATAGAGTTTGCTGCTCCCATTGCAAAAAGCTATGACAGAAGCATGTCGCCATACTTTTTCTGGTCGGTCTGTCAGTTTCTAAGATGATTACAAAACTGAGCGTCAACGTTCACATCAACCCGACAGCACCTTCGGTGGCTCGTTTATGAGCAATATTTCTGCAGGGAAAGTGTTTTAGGTTGATCACAAACCACGTGTCGGCTACGTTTGTGGTGGTAAGAGAGCTGTCAGCAATCTCTATTGTTTAGATTTTTCTTGGTTTAGTTTGATGTGTATAAAAAGCATCTCACGCACACTTGTTCAATTATCTCTGATAATACAATGCTCTTTGTAAAAACACGGCTTCAAGGTCACTTTTGAAGGAGCTTTCATCCGTAGTGCTCGAAAGTGTTTTTTGTGAAGTGCTCTAAGTTTTCTTAAATTCAGCCGAAATAACTTCTTAAGGTTCAACAAACCATCATTGTTTTTTCAATCATCATCAAAAAAATCAAATTGTTCAAATTCAAATCGTTCAAAATTCTGCCAACGAAAATGTCATCATTGCATTCTACTGGCCTACCGGAACACAGTGATGACATTTTCATTGGCGGAATTTTGAATTTGAACGAAAAAACTGCTTTTGATCATTGAAAATTAAATGATGGTTTGTTGAATCTTAACTATCAGGTTAATACATTATAATGATTCTTCAGATATTTTCTTCTATTCTGGCGTTCAGCATAATTTGAATGCTTTCCAATAACATTAATATGGTAACACATTATTTACTTATATTATACTAAAATGTTCTATCAGTATCTGCAGGAGAAACGGATTATCGTCAGGTGTTTCTGCTTTGGAAAAATGCGGAAGGTGACAAAAAAAACCAAATTGGGTTTTTTGGTTTAAAAATAACACGATGTCTTGAAATAGATGCAGAACTTGTTGATGTTATGTCAGAGATTGAAAATTACTTGGATAACATTTGCAAATATTTCAGCCAGCTGTGGCAGAGGCATAACAGCACAATGGCTAGAGTTCTGGAAAATAACGTTGCTTATTTTGACAAACCATTTTGTTTACCGC